TCGGTGCGGCTGGGCTCGTTCTGTGGGGCTGGGCTGGGAACCCTCTGTGGGGCTGGGCTGGGCATCCTCGGTGGGGCTGGGCACCTTCTGTGGGGCTGGGAACCCTCTGTGGGGCTGGGCTGGGCATCCTCGGTGGGGCTGGGCACCCTCGGTGGGGCTGGGAACCCTCGGTGGGCCTGGCCCGTGCCCTCCCCTGTCCTCCCCGGAGCTCCCGGCGCTGTCCCGTCCCCTCCCGGCCGAGCTCTCCGCTGTCCCCGCGCCCCCGTGCTCGCTGGCCCGGCCCGGCCGGTCGCACTCACCGCAGAGGGCGGTGGCGAGGCCGTGCCGGGCGCAGGCGGCCCCGGGAGCGGCGGTGGCCCCGGGGCCAGCCCGAGCGGGATGCCCAGGGCACAGCCCCGCAGCTCAGGCCGCTGAGCGCGGTGTTGAGCGGCAGCAGGGTGATGGGGGAGCGCCAGAAGAGCAGCAGCACCAGCAGCTTGCTGCAGAAGCCCAGGCTGCCCACGGCGCCCGGGCACACGGCGGCAGCCAGCCTCCCCGCGGGGCTCAGGCACCGCTGGGCCCGGCCCGGACATCACCGCAGGCGGCGCCGGGAGCCGGATCCGAGCTGGATCCGCGCTGGATCAGAGCTGGATCAGAGCTGGATCCGCGCTGGATCAGAGCTGGATCAGAGCTGGATCCGCGCTGGATCAGAGCTGGATCAGAGCTGGATCCGCGCTGGATCAGAGCTGGATCAGAGCTGGATCCGCGCTGGATCAGAGCTGGATCAGAGCTGGATCCGCGCTGGATCAGAGCTGGATCAGAGCTGGATCCGCGCTGGATCAGAGCTGGATCAGAGCTGGATCCGCGCTGGATCAGAGCTGGATCAGAGCTGGATCCGCGCTGGATCAGAGCTGGATCAGAGCTGGATCCGCGCTGGATCAGAGCTGGATCAGAGCTGGATCCGCGCTGGATCAGAGCTGGATCAGAGCTGGATCCGCGCTGGATCAGAGCTGGATCAGAGCTGGATCCGCGCTGGATCAGAGCTGGATCAGAGCTGGATCCGCGCTGGATCAGAGCTGGATCAGAGCTGGATCCGCGCTGGATCAGAGCTGGATCAGAGCTGGATCCGCGCTGGATCAGAGCTGGATCAGAGCTGGATCCGCGCTGGATCAGAGCTGGATCAGAGCTGGATCCGCGCTGGATCAGAGCTGGATCAGAGCTGGATCCGCGCTGGATCAGAGCTGGATCAGAGCTGGATCCGCGCTGGATCAGAGCTGGATCAGAGCTGGATCCGCGCTGGATCAGAGCTGGATCAGAGCTGGATCCGCGCTGGATCAGAGCTGGATCAGAGCTGGATCCGCGCTGGATCAGAGCTGGATCAGAGCTGGATCCGCGCTGGATCACAGCTGGATCACAGCTGGATCAGAGCTGGATCTGAGCTGGAGCTGCCAGTTTTTCCAGGAGAATGCTGTGGGATCTTTCAGACCATTTGCTGAAAATGTGTCAAAAAGTCATGTTAATAATGCAAAATGAGTTTGATCTCTTTGATTTCACCTGGAAAATCACATCACTTGCTATTTGTGGCGGCTAAAGGACTTGCCAACTCATTTGGGGGAAAGTGCAGCACATCTGTCTCCTTGATAATCTGGGAACGTGGCTGGAATTGCACAGCTGCCGGTGAAACTGTGGCTTCTCCGCCGGAAAAAATAAAAAAATAAATTAAAAAAAAGGGAATTACCGGAACCCAAATGTGGAATCTGAAGCGATTTAGTCGCGTTTTCCTCAATTTTAGCAACGGCCACAAGATGGCACAGGGCCGCTCGGAGTAGGATGGGGTTTGGTCCCTGGGGAAGAGGCTTTTCCGAGTTTCCTGGAGCAATGGGCTGGGCTGAGTGTGGGTACCACACGATACCCGTGAGACCCGTGTGTGGCACAGCCGGACAGCGGGGACCTGCACCCCGCTGGGTGTCACCTCGGCTCTGCCAGAAGTTGGTCTCCAGGTAAATGCCTTGGCCGAGGCTCTCTTCTGGCGGCCTGGCTGGTACCAGGGTGAATTCCCTGCCAGGCTAGGAGCTGCCCGTGCCACCCGTGCCACCCGTGCCACCCGTGTCGCCCGTGTCACCTGTCCTGTGAGTGACCGCAGGACACGCGGGGACCCAGGGCAGGGCTGGGCGTGGCAGCAGGACAGACAGTCCCAGGGCGCTGCTGGTGCCCAGAGAGGTTCCCTGGAACAGAGACTGGCCAGAGTTAAAGGAATAAAGTGGGGATTTATTAAAAGGCCTTCAAAGGATACACCCTGGGCAGTGCAAGAGCCTGGCTGAGGATACACCCAGGATGGATCCAGGATGGATCCAGGATGGAACCAGGATGGAGCCAGGATGGAGCCAGGATGGACCAGGATGGAGCCAGGATGGACCAGGATGGGCCCAGGATGGAGCCAGGATGGAGCCAGGATGGACCCAGGATGGA